ATCGTAATCAATGTCTCTAATTTATGTAATGCGAGTTCAAAATTAATTTCATATGTTATAAAAAAGTCAAATCTAAAACTGTATAATTATGAGTTATAATTATCGATCCTCGTTATAATGAAGATTAATAAAATAATAAACTATTTTGTATACTTTTTACGAGCTTAATGCATACATATTTTTGGCAAATAAAAATAGACATTAATTTTCTAAATACAACATATATATGTATTTTTTATTATTTTTTTATTTTTAATATTTTACTTTCTAGAAAAATATTTACAATTTAACAGCATGTAATTGTTAGATCCACAATGTTAATTTACTTAATTTAATTTTTTCGTAAAATACTGAATGAATTGTGCTGTAATTTTGTAGAGAAATCTAAAAATATGATATGAAAAAGGGAATTTTTTATTTATTTTTATAATAATTATTTCAATAAATATAAACAGTTTTGCACCTCATTGACAGTGACATTTCACATTATGAATCTATAATAATCACATGCTGTTAAGTTAAATTTAATCTAACTTTTTAGAAAAGGTAAATTTTATCTCAAGTTTTTTGGTTATTCAAAGCTGATTGAAAAAGATAATCAAAATCAGTGTGAATATTATATATATGAACACTAACCGCACATCTAATATTCTTTAGAAATTGGATAACTTTTTCTTATTAAACTCTTTCGGCCTTACAAAGTTGTTTTCATGCCTCTTCACCGCGCTTTATAAAGTTATAAAGTTTAGATACCAAAAAAAAAAAAACAGTCATTTTAAATTGTTATTTTGATAAAATTTATAGGTACTGATTGAATATAAATGTTAACAAAAAATCTAATTTTCACCAATAACTCAAATTTTTCTTTTAAAAGGGAATAATTTCTTTTTTTTTTATTTGTTTATATTAATTTATTATTTTACTTCCCAAGGTCAATTCTAACGTAAAAATTAAAAAGATATATAAGCCACATTACAGAGAAAACTATTTGTTTCAAAAATTATAATTTAAAGTAATTTTTTGTAAAAGGTATAACCAATACTTAATTAAAAATATATTTTGTTTCTTATTGTACCAAAAAATTTTTTTTTTTAAATTTAATTTCTAATTGCAAAATGGACATACGGGTTTCTGATAGTGAAAAATACAGACGAAAAAAAGCGCAAAGTCGCTTATGTTTCATTTTTCTGTAAACTGGTTCAAAAGCAACCGTGTTGTCTCATTCTAATCCAAAGTGATTTTTTTTAAAGTTTAATCAATATTCAATAAAAAAATAATTTTTGTTTCTTGTAAAAAAAAGTTTATTTTTTTTAAATAATTTCTATTGTAAAATGAATAAACGAGTTTCTGTCAGTTAAAAGTTTAAATATTTTCTTGTTATCAATTCAACAATTTTTTTAGTAGGTAATAAATTTCAATAAAAATCAATTAACAATTAAATGATGTAGTCAAACAAAATTGTATCTATTAAGCGATTTTTTAACCATACTTGTCTCATTTTTAAACAACTTGGTTTTGTAATAAATAATTAAATTCGTTAATTTTTTTAATCAGATGCAGTCTTTTTTTATGAATCCAAAATGATACCAAAAACTCAATTTTGACAAAAATGTTGTTTATGTATATATCTTTTTAATTTGTACGGCAGAATTTGATTGGGTAATAGAGAGTACAGTAAAAGTAAGTTTGAATCGCATATAACTATAACAATTTACTTTTCCTGAATATGCAATTTTGTAAGAATACATTTTTTTGACAAAATATTAATATAATTTGGCACATGACAACGAATCCGATTATATTATTTTTGAGTTCTCTACAAAATTTTATATTAATCTATTAAGTACAATTTACACGAAAACCTACGCGGTGAATATTTACATGTGAAATAACAATAATCACACGACCTTAACGTTAACTGCAATTTCCAAATAATGAAAAATAATCCTTTATAATAGTTGTTTGTCGCTAACTTTAACAAGCAACACGTTCCTTATAACGAAATATATCTATATAGTAATTTTTAAATATTGGATAAAAGTTCCACGAAAATTCCATGTAATTTCCGTGGAATCTTTCTATAAGCAAGCATTGTTTTCAAAAAAATATGATCTAAGGGGGAAAAAAATGGTCTTTTAGTATAACTACCATGGAAAAAAAGATTTATCTGGAACAGTGGAAGGTTTCACTAGAATACCAAAAATTTTAATGGTTTCAATTAAATCTTTCACTATTCTAGCAAAACCTTTCGCTGTTTCACACTGAGAGAAACAATTGATTGCGATTACCCTTTCGTTAGTAAGAATATTTTTGCTAATTTATATTAGCTACTGTTACCATTTAGTAAGTCAGCCTAACCATTTCGTTAGTAAGGTAACTAATTAAATAGTTATTCCAACAAACAAATTAGTTAAATCAACTAATGAAATAGTTATGCCAACCAATAAAAATAGTAACCACAACTAATAAATTAGCAGCAGTGTAGTTTACTAACTAAAAATGGTCATGTCAAAAATAGTAACCCCAACCAATCTTTTCTCTCAGGGAAGATGAATTTTTTTCCGTGTACTACATTTTATAATTATTTTTAGATATTTTTAGAAAATAGTTTGTTCTATGATATCACCATTATTAAAAAAAAGCACTGAATAATATTAATGGATTTTTAAAATTGATTTTCTAGACTTTCAAACGAATATTAACTTTCAGTTTAACTGGAAAGTGGATTATATAGAATCCAGATAATCCTCCAAAAACCGCATAGCACATATCTACATCTATATTTAAAACAAGGGGAGGAGGATGATATTTCCTAATCTGAAGCGATGGATATTTGCTCACTAAATGATATTCTACACATTTAATTGCATATATATAATCAGAATATCAGTTAACGTTTCGAAATAATCACATACTCGAATGTCTATGATGTATTCCACACCAAAGTGTAAGTCCATCTGCAATTGTATCTCCGATTTTTTTGAGATTTTTTTTTTTTTAGTACTAATTGAGACTAGCTTCCATGAATTTTTCTTAAATTTTTTTAGCAACCCGTTTTCGAGTTATGGAATTTTGAAAATTGGAGAATTTTCATAACATTTAATTTTTGAATGCTCATAACTTCCTTAAAAATGCATCAATTTTAAAAGTATTTTTTTTCAAAATGTGTGTTTTTAAACGTACTTTTCAAAAAAAAAATCGAAAATTTTTTTTAAATCATATTACTTTCAAATTTTTGAGTTTTAATGGTAAAAAATCATTTTTCTCATTTGACATACTAATCGATTTTTTTTCAAAATTTAAAAAAAAAACTACTTCTTTTTATGAAACTTTTAAGCCTAGCCCGATAATGGGCAAACGATTTTTACAATATTTTTGGAATTTTTCAAAAATTTTTGAAATTTGAATTTTTGTTTCTTTTTTTATACTACGTATTTTTATGTATTTTGATGCGCTGATTACGAAAATCATAGTGACAATATCCAAAAATTTTATTTTTATGGTGAAAACCATAAAAAAAGTCCTAAAATTTATGATTTTTTTCGTTTATTGGGCAAAATATGAAAAATTTAAAAAAATGCGTAAGATAAGAAAAATGTATTTTAATAAGATCTATAACTTTTATTGGAAAGTTTTTTTTTAATTTTGCATATTTTACCCAATAAACGAAAAAAACCATAAATTTTGGGACATTTTTTTTGTTTTCACCATAAAAATGAAATTTTTGGGTATTGTCACTATGATTTTCGTAATGAGCACATTAAAATACATAAAAGTACGTAGTATAAAAAAAAACAAAAATATTTTTAAAAAATTCAAAATTCAAAAATTTTTGAAAAATTCCAAAAATATTGTAAAAATCATTTGCCCATTATCGGGCTAGGCTTAAAAGTTTCGTAAAAAGAAGTAGTTTTTTTTGAAAAATTTTTGAAAATAATCGATTAGTACGTCAAATGAGAAAAATGACTTTTTACCATTAAAACTCAAAAATTTGATAGTAATATGGTTTAAAAAAATTTTTTGATTTTTTTTTTGAAAAGTACGTTTAAAAACACAATTTTGAAAAAAAGACTTTTAAAATGATGCATTTTTATTAAGGAAGTTATGAGCATTCAAAAATTAAGAGTCATGAAAATTCTCCAATTTTCAAAATTCCATAACTCGAAAACGGGTTGTTAAAAAAATTTGAAAAAATTCATAAAAGCTAGTCTCAATTAATACTAAGAGAAAAAAAATCGGAGATGCAATTGCATATGGACTTACACTTTGGCGTGGAATACATCCTATATACCTGTGTATAGATATGAAAATAAAATCCTTTCTATTATGTTATTATCGAACCATATTCTGGATATGCGATACAGAAGGAAAATAAAACTGTGAATTTAATGGGATACTTTTTATTCTAAGGCGGATATAGCCCGTCATAATTTTGAGCACTACATTCCTGGTTTTTATATATGCATCCAGGTTCTCTCTGTGTCTGCATAATTTATAGTTACAACTAGGACAAGAAAAATAATTAGAATGACACTTAACAATATCTTAAAGGAGTTCCAGTTTTTCACCGCAACCCGATGAAAAAGTCAATTAGTTTCAAGTTGTTATTGTTACACTCTTGAACAAAGGGCGGGATCAATGATCTATTCGCGAAGTGACTCGGGATTTTCAAAGTATATTTAACTTTTTCTTTCAAAAGTATATTAATAAACTTCAATATTTAGTTTTTACACTGTCTATATTCAAAAATACCTCTTATCTAAATCATTAAGAATAAAATTAAATTAATGTAATCTTATTAAGTTAATCATAAAAATTCTTTGAAAAGCAAAATCAAAAGTTTATTCAAAAATATCAGAAAAAGTTTTAACTGATTAAATGAAACTGTTTTTTTTAAAAAAAAGGTGTACGAAAAAATAGAATCAATAGAATTTTAATTAATTTGCAAAAAAACGTAATTTCATGAAATAAATTAATTTCACAATCATATGAACACTCACCTATGCAGAGCATAAGAGCGGCAAGAAGAATTGGTAGGAAAAGCCTCATAGATATGATTGCGGAAGCCATTTTTGTTATTTTAAGACTTGATGATTGAAAAAGTCACTCTTAATTTTTATTTAACAAAAACTCTTTGAAAATTTTATAGAATGTCAAGAAAATTTCTTAAATAAATCGAAAATTGAAATAGAAAACTTAAAAATTGTTTAGGTATTCCAATAAAAATTTTCACTCAAATTTTCTTCTTCGTGATTAAACGTAAGAATTTTCAACGGAATTTGAATTTAATATTGTGCAAGTAACTTTTGGGCCTCATTCACTTTAACATTCACTTCTTCATTTGCCGATAGTGATAAACTTCACAATATACTTGTCAAAAGTTTATATTTAAATTTCCCCGTTAAATTTTTTTAATATACAAACGCGACAATTTTTAAATATTCAAATAAATTGCCATATTAATAGTTTTTGCATTTGTTCGATGAAAATTGATTTTTTAGATCGAAAAGTTTAAATTTTTTTTTGTACGTTTTAAACAGTTAAATATTTTAGAAACTATTAATATTTCACACTGTTTTTTTCCGTTTGACTAAATAAAAAGTTTGAAATTCACGTACCGCTTGACACTTTTTAAATATTTTTTCTTTTGTTTGTCTGTGTGTGTGTGTGTTTTTTTAGATGACTTTGTACTTAGAAAGTTTTCTTTTGTACTTTCGCGCGACGGAGAAAATAGTCGCGAAACTGATCCCTTATAGGGTGAGTGTTATGTCCTACCACGTACGTCTGGTGCCGCTGAACTAACTTATAGGCGTATAAGTACAAGTTGCGACGTCGCGCCAAACCAGCTGCGCCCGCGCTTTCGCAAAGTACAATATTTTTGTCAGACATAATTCTCTATTTTATATATATAAAAACAATTTTCAGAAACATATACAAATTTCCTAACAAGTTTTATTTTCCTTTTTTTAAAAAAGTCACTTTGTAATTTTGAAAATTACAAAGTGTATCAAAATTCAAAAGTGCACTGTTCTTTACACTATATGAATAATTCTAACATACATATGAAATTATGCCCTGCAGGAAGAATAATTATATCTAATTAAACATAGAAGATGATATACGAAAGGCAAAGCTTAGATTTATAATTAATGTTAATTATAAAGAATAAAGAAGAAATTTTCTGTGCTCAAAACTATTGAAAAAATCACTATGTTTGGCAATATTTCATTTAGATATTATAAAAAAAACTGTAATTTTTAATGTTTTATAAAAATCTGAATTACTTCTGAAGTAATCAACGCTTTTTAATTTTCCAAGGCTATTATTTTGAAGGTAATTTTCTACAGAATGAGAATTATTTGTAAGCCCCAATGTATATTTTTCTCTTAAAAATTGCAGGCCTTCAAAGTTGAACCAAAAAAATGCGAAAAATTTAAAATCATTTTTTGAACAAAAAAATAATTTTTAAAATTCGAACAATTTTATTTTATGTGATTTCCTTACCAAAACAACGGTTTTTGGGTAGAAATAAATCATTAACAATTTTTCGCATTTTTTTGGTTCTAGTTTAAGAGTCTGCAATGTTTATGAAAAAAATTATACATTAGTGTTTACAAGTAATTCTCATTCAGTAGAAAATCACCTTTAAAATAAGCCTTGGAACATTAAAAAGTGTTGATTATTATTTTAGAAGTAATTCAAATTTTTCTAAAATATTGAAAATGACAGTTTTTTTTTATAATATCTAAATGAAATATTTGCGAAATTAATTTTCTTAAGTCTTATTCTTCTTAAAATTTTATCTTCGTTTAAGAAATAAACAGAACAAATTTTAGTAAGTATCTATACATTTTAATATTTTATGTTTAAAGATGCTATTAATTCTTCAAAAAAATGGGTGGTCCCACAATTCTGAACCGTAGTATAAAAATAGACAAGTATTTTGAAAAAAAATACTTGAAACTTTAACAAAATTTACCATTATTATATTAAAGTTTAATGAAATTTGTTAATTTTTTTGTATATTAATTTTAAAAATAATAAATTTATTTTGAATAAAAATCATAAACCTTTAATGGTTTATTTTGTGATACTGAAAATAATTTAATTCTTAAAAATATTTATTTTTCTATTAAAAGCTATATTTAAAACGAAGAAAATTAACCACACAAAGACCTACACTAGGGATAACGTCCCTGAACACATAATTTTAAGTGATGGAAATCAACTCATTAACTGCGTCTCCCAACAGAGAAGGAATTAAATAAAAAATGACTTACTGATCGATGAATCCCACGTCGATATTTGCAGCGTCTTTTTCGGGTCACTCCCGAAGATCCCTGCCTCTTGCTTGCACTTCTGCGCAGATCGGGAGTTACACTACCGTAATTAAAAAAAAAAACAGTAGTGTGCTGGGACCACTTTTCTTCATCCTCCTTCTTGTTGTTATATAAAACTGAATTGAAAAAATAAAAAATTTATTAAAAAATGAAAGAATTAATTATTCTCTAAAACAAAATATGTATCTCAAAGATTATTAATTTTTCGTCACTGTTACCCCCTAAAGTTTTTTAAATTATAGTATTAAACAGTAAAATAAAGTCTTAAATCAATTTGGCTTTTATTTTTAAAAACACATATAAAATAAAAACCAACCTTGAAAGAATAAAATATCTATCATTTTGCATATGTATTTTTGCCCCAAATATACCTAGATAATTAATTATTTTCTTGGAAAATAAAATATATTAAAAACAGTTTCTGTCTAAAAAAACATATCGTCCTTTAATTTAAAATTATTACACGGAGTTATAACTGTAAAAATTTACGTTCGTCAATTGTATATAACTTTTAACGTTGGTGAAGTTCACAACGTTTTTACACGTTTCCAAAATGAAAAATACATATTTTTCAACAACGTTTATAATTATAAATGTTGTGATCTTTACCGACGTAATTTTTATAAATCAATTTATTAAATTGAAATAAAATTATAATTAACCCTAGACAGCACAACATAGTTGGCTCATACGTAGAAGCACATCTGGGGTAGAAAACAACCCCAAAATTGTTTTGTTGCTAGAATGTTGCAATATAACTTTATTCTATGACATTTTCTTCGTTTTTTATAAGAAGAAGGTAGTGTTTTTTTGTTTTTTGATAGGATCAAAAATATGGATAAAAAATTACAAAAAACACAAAATCTGCAAAAAATACTGAAATTTGAATTTTTTTCTGGCGTAGTTTTCTACCCCAGATGTGCTTTCTAGGATTAATGAAAACGAGTTTACTATTTGCGGATTTCTGCGTCGTTACAGAGATGCGATGACGACATATCCTCCCACCAAACTAGACGAATCTTCCCTCCCCTGCGGTCCAATTGCCTGCAAGGTATTTGGAAAAAGATTTTAAAATATTTGCGAAACTATTTTATACACTAGTAATTTTTTTTCTCGTTTTTCGATATTAAAGCTTTCCCTAATTAATTAAAAAATCCCCTGACTTTTTCTACAAAAATTTTTAAATTGCAAAATAGTGCTACAATTTGTTATAAAACATTTTTATTACATTATTATATTTCACGATGATCAGATATAGTTTGTATATATTTATTATATTGTTTACGGATACCGCAAATAAAATGATGCCATCAGCATCATTAAAATTGATTAGTAATAAAAATAATAATTTCAGTCATAATATTATTCACACCTGTGAACAAGTTTATAATTAAAGGCATATGATATGCTTAACACTTCTTTGATATTATAAACAACTGAATAGTGCAATTTGCCTTTATATAGTTTATCGATAAAAATAATACTTCGTTATAATTATTGTAATTATATAATTTTGTTATTAAATAATTTATTAAACGTTATACACTAAAAAGAAATTAATTATCACATTTTATCAAAGTATATATTTAATGGTTTATGACAGTGTGCCAAAACAAAATTAAATATATGTTCAACAACATTTTATACTTAAAAATATAAAATACAGAAATATTAATTAACACAAATAAGAAATTATTATTATTATTAAATATTATTATTTTATCAGTCATAAAGTGAAATATAAAAGAATATTATACGTTTCATTTATATATATATATATATATATATATATGAAACATATAATCAGCAGATAAAACGATTTTAAGATTAAAAAGTTCTTTTTTTACGAATATATGATTTCAAAGGAATACTTTGAAAATAAAAAACTGAAAAACAATTATATTTTCCTTTTAACCAGATGTATAACGAAATTAATTAATTTAAACTTTAATTAATTATTTTAAAGCGAAACTAGGTCTACTGGTAAATGAAAACAAGAAGCGAAATTTATTAATTAACAAACTCATTTATCTATAATAAATTTTTATATCTTCTATATTTTTTACGTGCTTTTTTTATTCAACTGCAGTATAGCCCCGTATACATTTATTTTTCTCTCAACTTTACGATTTTAATTTATTAAATAGTAATAAAGTAATTTAAATATTACAAAAAGTAAGCATTACAAAAATATTTACATACACTGAAAAAAATGTTGCCGAGAAATTCAACTACCATTGGGTAGTTGACTAGAAAGTAGTTAAAAATAACTACTTTTTTAGTTAATCTAATCATGTTGATGTAGTTAATGTAACTATTTTTAAGAAGTTAATAAGTAATAGTTGATTTTACGTAAATATGTAGTTAAAGTACAACTACAGGTCGGTAGTAAAATTAACTTTCTTAAGGTAGTAAAAACAAGTGGAATTGTAGTCAACTCAAAATTTGAAGAGTAGTAAATCCAACTACTATTCACCAGTTATATGAAATGTAGTAAAAGGAATTATTTTCTTTAATTAATATAACTACTTTTTGAGTAGTAAATTTTTTTATTAATTTCTATGATTTTATAGGCTTCAATAAAATTCTTGTTGTTGAATTAACAAGTCGTCTGTAATTAAAACTACTACTTTAAGTAGTAGATTTTTACTATTTTAATTAATTCGATAAACTTAAAGAAGATTTTTGATGTAGAATTTAGAAATCGTTTCCAGTTAAAACTACTACTTTAAGTAGTAGATTTTACTACTCAAAGTGGTACAATAGGCTTTAAGAACATTTTTGTTGTAGAATTAACAAATCCTTTGTGATTAAAACTACTACTTTAAGTAGTAATTTTTTACTATTTTAATTAATTCAATAAGCTTGAAAAACGTTTTTGATGTAAACTTTATACAAATCGTTTCTAATTAAAACTATCACTTTAAGTAGTAGATTTTACTGCACTATGCAATTAAACAACTTATAATATAATTAAAAGATGAAAAATTTACAAGTCAAAACTTAAAAAGGATAGTTATAGCAACTAATAAAAGTAGTAAAAATGACTACTTTAAATAGTTAAATTACCAATTGGACAAGCAGAAAGTAGTCTTTGAGTAGTTTGCAGACTGTCGTAGCGAGCGTTAGGGTCGAGGGTTCAATTCCCGTCGGTTAGAAATTTTCTCTGTTAGGTACATAATCGTTAGGGCATAAAATAAGCGTCAGTATAGGAGAGAGGATGAAAAAGTCAATTTTACTGATAATAAACAATTATAAATAAAAAATAATTTTATTTTACTATTTTAAGTAGTAAAATCTACTACTTAAAGTAGTAGTTTTAATTGCAAAAGATTTATTAATTCTACAAAAAAATATTCTTAAAACCTATTGAACCACTTTCAGTAGTAAAGTTTACTACTTAAAGTAGTAGTTTCAATTGCAAAATATTTATTAAATGTACCAAAAAAATTTTCTTAAAGCCTATTGAACCACTTTAAGTAGTAAAATCTACTACTTACATCTTGAGTTGTTTTAACATTTTTAAATTGAGTTAATACAATCACAAAATGTCATTCTACCAATTACATTTTTCATTAGTTTAACTATTTTTATATAGTTAACAGAACCGTTTAAATTTAGTTGAGGACCTATTGTACTCCTCAGAGTAGTTAAAAAGTAGTAAAACCTACTAGTTTTTTTTCAGTGTATTATTGCATTCGACTTATCAGTTAAAGTTAAAAACAGAAATATAAAGTTGTTAATATTAAAATATACATATATAGTCGTCTCATTATTTTTTATGCAATAAATTTTAACGATTATTAGTTTCGAAAATTGTTTTTAATTATTAAAAATCACAATTTCAATTAAAATTTATAAATGTTAATACAATAAAACAACATAATATTTAGTAAAAAATAAATTTTTCTTATTGTAATTTTTACAATCTTGTTTCTTAAAGTTTTTTTTTATATAAACATTATTTGTCCATAAATATATTTATATTCTTTACATGGTATAGACAAGAAGACTTATTGTTGTAAATCAATATATTGACCGAAACCAATAGTTTAATTCAAATATCGACTAAATTTAAGATTTAAATAGCCAAAAAATAAGCTGCTTTTTAAACTAATTACTTTAACTAAATAAGTTATTTAATATTTTGTTTTTATATTTTTTAAATTAAATTAATTTACTTTTCAATATTATGTATATACATAAAAAAAATTTGTAATTACTTGTAGAAGAAAATTTTTTTTCAGACAAACTAATTTTTAATTACTGTTAGTTATTTTCTATTACTTTATTTATACAATATTTTTAAATTTAACACTACTATTTTCAACGAGCTAAAAATATTTATTATATACAATCTATAAACCAATAAAGCCTCGAACAATGAAAATTATTTTTAATTAAAAAGAGTCTATATTATTTATAAATTTGTAATCTACAAATGAGAATAAAAACATATCTCTATAAAAATTAAGAAACATTTTTATTTTTAGACAAAAAGACTAGAATCTTTTTCATTTTTAATATCATATAAAATACTTTGAAAATAAATACTCTTAATATTTTGAATTGAAATATTTTTATCTTTATCCATCAGAGGCAGCACCGATCTATTAAAAATTTCTAAATGATATTACCGATCGAGCACGTTCCTTCACTCTTGGAATGTTTTAGGACTGACTAAAAACAGTCAACAACAAATCAGTTTATACCCAAATCAAATTAATGTTTATATTTACATTTAACTAAATCATTTTTCACACAATTTTTTAGAAAGAATTTAATAAAATAATTAATTAATGATTAAATATTTTGTCGATAAATAAGTGTCTAATAATCAAGTGTGTTGTAAAGTAAAGTTTGACAGCTATATTAACATTTTGTATAATCAAAATGGAAAATGAGTGTAAAATTACTGTAAAATGGAGTGGAAAAGAATATGAGATTTCCAGCATTTTTGAAAGTGACACAGTATTAACATTAAAGGAACGTATTCACAAAGAAACTGGTGTCCGGCCAGAAAGACAAAAGCTTCTCAATCTCAAATTTAAAGGTTAAACATACAATTATTTTTAAATTACATAATTTTATTATTGATTTTTTTCTACTAACTTTTATTGTTTTTAAACAATATCCAACAATTGTATTTATTTATATGTACATCATTTTTTCTCACATTTACGTGACTTTTTGAATTCTAACCTAAACAACAAAATAAACACTAAATTTTTTTTTTGCGATTTGTGCAAGCATGCACAAAAATGAAATTATCTCAAAATTCGGTTATATTACAAAATTTAAAGTATTATGATCAATTATTAATTTTATTTATTGTTTTGTTCTACTTATGTCTTTAAAAAGAATTGTAATTAGCATAATTTTTTTTTTTTTTTAGGAAAACCGGCACAAGATGAAAACACAATTGGAATGCTGGGCATTAAAAAGGGTTTTAAACTCATGTTAATGGGATCACGAGAAGAAGATATCGCAGAAGTAAGTCAAGCTCCTGAAAATCTGCCAGACGTAATAAATGATCTCGATATTGAAGAAGAGGAAGTGGAAATTGAAAAAGCCGAAGTCTACCTTTCAAAAATTCAAAAACGAATAGACAATTATACAGTTGAAGAATTAAATCCACTTCGTGAGGGGAAAAAATTACTAGTTCTCGATATAGATTACACTTTGTTCGATCATAGATCAGTTGCAGAATCTGGCATAGAATTAATGAGACCATTTTTACATGAATTTTTAACGCGAGCTTATAAAGATTATGATATTGTTATTTGGTCGGCGACAAGCATGAAATGGATTAATGAAAAAATGAAACTTCTTGGAGTAACAAATAATCCTAATTATAAAATTGCCTTTCACTTAGATTCACTTGCTATGATTTCTGTTCATACGCCAAAATATGGTGTTGTCGATGTAAAACCACTTGGTATGATTTGGGGTAAATATAAGCAATTCTCATCGAAAAATACAATTATGTTTGACGACATTAGGAGAAATTTTATTATGAATCCACAGTCAGGTCTTCGGATAAGACCATTTAAGCAAGCCCATTTAAATAGATTGAAAGATCGTGAACTTTTAAAGCTTTCTGATTATTTGGAACTCATTGCTAAACTCGATGATTTTCAATCTTTAAATCACAGAAAGTGGGAGGAATATAGAGCAAAAAAAATAAAAAATCATAGTAGACGATATGAAGGAAATGAAACACAAAATATTTAGCAATAACAATTTATACCTTCAGACTGAATTTTTTGTTTTATAAATTCATTAAGGTACATTATTGTCTTACAACAGTTAACTGCTAAGTTACAGTAATACTAAAAGTAGAAAAGATTTTGTAAACTAATATATTGCCTGTTTTCTTAATGTTATTTTTTTTTCATTTAAATAGGGAAAACAATGAGTGATTTTCTTTAAACTAATATTTTTAAAAATAATTTTTTCTTACAAAAATCTTAAAAATAATATTCCATTGACTTATTTTGATCAAAAATAGATTGATATTTTAAGTGAAACGTTACAAAATATTCTTTGGTCAAACATAGTAAATAAAAAACAATTTTTTAAAAATATTTTCTACTTTTAGTTTTAATTTATGGCAGCCTATCATGAGAGAACTTTTTAAGGTAAATTGTGCTCCTTAAAATAAAATAATTATCAGGTATATCTTAAAAAGTATAAAATTAATTAAATATAGCTTTCAAAATTTTTCAAATAAGATTTAATGTTTGTTCAATAAGTATAAAATGATGACGAATTATAATAAACAAGTATTTTTTAATTTATTATCGAAAATCAAAAATAAGAGAATGTAATTTTTTTAACACAATATTAATAAGTTTTATATAATGGTGTCAAATTTACGAAATTACTTTAACGAACGATACCTCTATTTTAATATACGCTTGCTTATAAAGACTGCGCTTTAAAAAACCGAAGACAATTAATATTTAAGTGTTTTGAAATAAATACTTGTATTAAAATAAATTTTTGTATTTTATTTCTTCTACAAACACATAGTATAATTTTCCTTTTCATTTAAAGTTTAATGATAATTTAAAGATACATTCCTTAATTGAAATATAAAATTCTTTTAAGCAAAAAAAAAAAAAAAACAAAAAAAAAAAGTTTGCAAAAAATGTTAATACATTTTTTAATTTAATATTTAAACATTTATATTAATACGCAAAAGTACGATTTTGGTCTTCACTTATTCAATTTATAAATAAATATTTGACTCTAAATGATACTTGAATAAATATTATTTAATTAAATATCAGTTCTGATGCAAATAATTTTCTAAAACTGTAGTTTATTAATTTAAAACATTTACGACGATATTTATGAGTTATAAGTACTGAAAGTTTTAGGAAAAAAATATTAACAAAATCGTTTATTATGAAAAACCGAAAGTACTCAATATATGAAATTGTACCTTTTTTTTAGAAATGCTACTGTTAATAATAAGGCTATAAAGAAAAAAATAGTTATTTTGTAATGAATATTCACAGCAATGAATCAAAATTTCGTAAAAATAAAAAGTCTGAATCGTCTGAATGCAAATCTTATTTGACAGCAAAAGAATCACGTAATTCAATAGGTAAATATAGTCATATCAATAACTATAATAATACAATAATTATAAAATTCACAATGCTATTAAATTACTATGAATTTGATTAAAATAACTAAAAAAACTTACAAAATTTATGTACAAAGGTACAAAGAATAATGAAATATCCCGGCTTCGTTTAGGTTATGTTCTTTAAACGTGAATTAATTAATTAATTATTCAAGTATACTGTATAAAGTGAGTATTCAATTTACATTTTTGATATAAAAAATCACTGGATAATTTTTAGTAAAGTATCAAACTATCAATTCTTATTTTAAAATTAACAAATTACTGGAGCTCAATTTCTCTCCCTCTCTCTGTTTAACTGACGCCGGTAGAAAATGGCGGGTAAAACTTGGCGCGCTTTATAGATAGCGCCACAAATAAAACCGCGCTTTTTCAAAAGATTTTTTTTAGAAAAATTTATTTTTTATTAAAATTATGTATATATTAGGGTGTTCAGCGGTCAGGGAATTTGATTAAAAGTTAGGGAATTTTTTAAAAATTTGCCAAAAATGAACATTTTTATGAATTTTTTTAAATTTTTCGATGCAAGAAAAAGTTTATAATGCTAATAAATAAAATTTTGTTTATTATCTTAAAAATACTTTAATATTTGATACTTTTCATTTTTTAAATATTAAATATTTATTAAAGAAAAGTTTGAAAAAGGTTAGGAAAAAGTCAAGGAATTTTTTTTGTACTTCTACAAAATTTAAAAAAAATATTGCATTAAAAACTGAAGCAAGGAACTTATATTTCAATCAAAAGTATTGGATTATCATTAAATAAAAGAAATATACTTAATTTATATAATAATAAGAAAGAAAATAGTAAGAAATAAAATACATGAAATAAAATTTTAAAAAATCCTAAACAACATTAAATTAACGAAAGGAATGAATTGAAAAAAAATTAATATAGTACATAGGTTTTTAATGTCACGCAATGTTGTAAATCCTACACATTTTGTACATCATTTGAAAACGAGATGTACACTGATTAATTCAAAATATTTATTAATTATAAATGAAAATATTATCGCTCCGAAAGAAACAATTTTGTCAAAAAAAAAAATAAATAATTAACAATTGAAACATTACAGTATTGTTATGTTCCTAAAACCATTTTAATCATTCCATTTACAGACATATTTGAACTGCAATATTTTATTTGTGAACATTTTTAGCTTTTCATTTTGCAGGTAATTCTCAGATGAAACATTTTGACGTTCTTTATTTTAACGACATCCTTTTGGTTGTCAAACAATAAAAGAACACCGACAGCATTTCGGTTTTCTTAAAAAATATCATTTTCACTCCATTTTCAATTGATGTTACAATAGTAAGTTCCAGTTGATTCATTTTTATAGATAAATTTGAAGTGTCACATTTTTTACGAATTATTTTGAACCCTTCATTTTACAAAGGAATCTCAGCTGTAACATTTTAACTTCCTCATCATTGATTTTAACGACACCCTCTTGATTGTCAATTGATAAAAGTACACCGACAGCTTCTCGATCTTCTCCCAAAATCACTTTAACTTTATCTCCACGTGATGGTACAATTGGTTCCAATTGATCACATTCTAAATTTACTGTTCTATCTTCGTCCGGTAGGAATATCGCACACATTCCTCCCTAAAAAAAAGGAATTAAAATTATTGAGTTTTTTAAATAATAAATATTAATGAATTAAATAATTGACTGATTACTTACGGAAATTCCTCTAATAACACCAGTTTGTCCAGCAAGTCCAGGATCTGAATGAGAATCCCGTATTCTAATTTCAATGTCAGTGGTGTGCCACTCGGAACCCATTATTCCTGATCCAACTCCCATGTCTATTCCAGATCCAGGCGTTTGTGGATTGTATGGACTTCCTGCTATTCCTGAAAATTAAGAATTTATTTTGAATAAAGATAAAGAAAGAAAATGATGTCTTCAATTGTTATATCTTAAATTTCTGTTTTCTACATGTAAGTATAATTAGATGAAAAAAAATTGCAATTATCTTACCAGGTGTCATGGGACTGTATGCCGCTGGTGATGGAGTAGCAAACGGTCCATGTGGACTAGCAGTATATCCAGTTCCCGACGGCGAGGGAGTTGCCACATAAGCCTGTGGACTGGGACTGGCAGTTGCACTGCCAGCTGGACTTGGACTTGGCTGATAAGGTCCATAACTTTGCTCTGATCCATACATTGTTCCAGGTGTTTGAGGAGTAAATGGTCCACCGGCCGCTGAATAGCCAGGTGCATATCCTGGTGATCCACCATCTTCCATACTGTATCCATCAAAGTCGTTTGTTCTCGCTGGAGTATTAGTAACCGTAGGATCCCAGGCACCGGACTGTCCGGGTGTTCTTGATCCGTCATGCGAAGGTGTCATTGAGCCATAATGAGGTGTACGAGAACCAGCTTAAAAATATTTTTTTTTAATTCAACTTTTATTTTTAAAAAACAGTTAATCTATGATTGATTCCTTGACTAGTTCAGATTATTAAATTTTGATTGTATTAAAGAATATAAACTTAATAAATTCTGTAAAAGCAGAAAAAATACTTACTCTCGTACATAGGAGTCTGAGAACCATGCATAGGTGTTTTGGAACCGTCTCTGCCATACATTGGAGTTTGATTTCCAGTAGCATAAGCAGGTGTTCTGTTGTAACTGCTGAAACCACCGTCTTTTGTTGGTACTCCGACATTAGCAATATGCGATCTATCAACGGAAATTGTTTGACAAGTCGAATGAAGTTCAACTCTGGCTGTCGTCTCTGTTGCATCCTTGACAATTCCAACATTTCCTTTGTAAGGTCCTCCTGTGATCTTGATAGTAGTGCCAATTAATTCACGATCACGTCTTGCACCTGCGCCTCGTCCTCTTCCTCGTCCACCTCTTCCGAAACCACCACTGCAAAAGATAAATCATCACATTACATCCATAAAAAGAAAACTTATTTTTATCATAATTCTTTCAATACAAAAAAAATTTAATCTACTTTTCCACAAATTATGACAATAATCAGATACTAACCCACTGGGATGCATAGGCGAAGCAATTCTCGGTGACATAAATCCAGCCATTGGTGACATTGATGGTGAAATTGTTGCTTTATTTCCGCCAGCGAGTTGCAAGTGTCTCGTTTTACAAACAAATATTCCACCATTGTCAATATACATTCTTGAGTGTAGAAATGCACAACTTCTATAGAGATGTTTTATTTCACCACCCCTTCCAGCGTGTGGTCCATCAATTACCTTTACTACATCTTTTTTCTGAATAGTATTCTGTTGTGAATCAAGAGCAACAGCGTGTCGATTCTCACGACGTTTTGTGAGACCTTGAGGTCTTGCCTCGACAACTTTGCCATGCATCGAGAGAACGTGGAAATTTTCACGTTCAAGTCGTACTATCACGCCAACAGTTTGTGGATCCAATTGTACAAGATCACCCCACTGAAATTGACCCATACTGTCAACGCCCGTCGCCATATCGGAACAAAGTTGCAAATCTCTGGGAAGCACTTCCAATTCGTGCATTGATAAATCGGAAAATAGAACCACGCGATTATGTTCGACGCGGACAATTAGACCAGTATCGCCCTCGTACCTTCCCGCAACAACCTGAAAGAAATTATTTAATTTCACGTGAAAAATAATATGAAATTAACAATTTTTTTTTAAAGCGACATATTTTTCTAATTACCTTCACATGATCACCCATAGTAAAATATTTTCTCAATTCATTGGCTTGAAATTCGAGAGCTTCTTTAAGTTCCTCGTGTTTAGGCATTACCATTATCATATTACCATCAATGGAAACGATCTTTCCTTGAAGATTCATCAATTCACCCTCGCATACTTCGACATTGTCTCCATTGCTGAATGAATGTGTTACAGTTGCATCTTCTTTACCAGTAGAAACACCTGTTGATGGTGTGCCACTTAATTCAATATCAATTCCTTCAGGCGATTCTTCAAATTTCTCCAATTCGGAAAGCGTTGGTTTCACACCTTCCACGATAATCGCACTCATTGTAAAACTTTTATATAGAAAACCCTTGCGACTGTAACGGTTTCCTTCAAAAAGAAGATAATCACCGTCACTTGTCACTTCACCACCGATTGCACGAATAGCTTCTGGATCAAATGGTTTCGCCGGTGGTCTTCGTTTTTTCTTACGTTTCAGAGCTTCTGATTCGCTCTGTGCTGTACGCAAAGCTCCACGAGGTCGCGTGTAATCAATTCGAGGCAGAAGTTTCAAGTGAACCTGATTCTGTCCCAAATCAACGTAATCAACTTGTGCAATGTCATCTTTATAAATGCCCCTCTTGAGTCTAACCCATTGTTTCTTCTTCAGCCCAGATTGTCGTTTCACAACTCGCAAAACATCTGTCATTTCCTTAATCGGTACCATTTGCTGTTTCCAAATACCCATTCTCAAATTACCGACATTGTCGATCGCAGCTTTGACATGCGGTTGTTTGTATGCCTCAATGTAGAGGTAACCTTTTATTCCCTCAGGAGCAACAACCGATTTTATTTGAAGTGGCTGACCTAAAAAATTAAACAGAAAGTAAATAAAAAACGTCTTTTTTTGAAATTAAGTCTTTTAAAAAAAAAAAAACTTACCACCAGTTTGATATGACAAGAATTTTCTCATTAATAATAAAAGCGTTGATTTTTCTTCACCAATACGACACTTGACCATCCAAAGATTTGGATCTTTGACACCGGGAAGTAAAGTTTGTTGAGTAATTTCATCACCCATTTCCTCACCACCATCACCAAAGTGACGAGCAGCCATTGATTCATCAGCATATTTTTTACGAAGATATTCTTCAATCTCATCTTCTTTTTGAGAACTAAATTTACATGAAAAATATTAATTTTTTTTTTAAATTTTAATTTCAATTAAATTGAAAAATTAATCTCCCTTTCTATTGTTACAAACTTACTCCCAAAGATTTGTTCCTCTTCTTCTACCTTCAATTTCTCGAGCTGTAGGTCCAGCTTCTTCAATTTCGTGAACAATACCCATTTCTTGGGCACCTTCCTCCCAATCCTCATCATCTTCAACTTCATCGTCGACTTCAGCTTCATGAATAATAAAATCGTTACATCTATCCTTTCTTTTCTTTTTCCTTGGTCTATCGTCATCCTCATCTTCTTCCTCGTCATATTCACTGTCATCTAAATCTTCTCCTGTAAGCATGAATTTAATATATAAATAATGCAAGAAAATCAAATTTTCAAATCAAATAACTTTAACTTTAGTAATTATGATTTTTAATTGAGTATTAGATGAATTGAATGGTATTCTCGAATTTATATTTTACCTTCAGGTTCTTCCTCAGGTTCAACATCTTCATCACCTGATCTAGCCTCTTCAGCTTCAGCAACAGATCTTGAAAAAAAAAAACAATCAAAATGTAACAATTCTTTTTAGGATATAAGGTATTTTTTTTAAACCAGTTATATTATTACCCTGATCGAGATCGTGACCGGGAACGAGATCTAGATCTTGATCTGCTTAATCTAGACCTTGATCTTGATCTAGACATTGATCTAGATCTTGACCTTGATTTTGATCTGGATCGAGATCTTGAAACACTTTTTCTGGAATGATTTTCCTCAACTTCACTGTCGCTGCCACCTCCTCGACGACCTCCTCGTTCGCTCTCATTTTCGGAATAATTACTACCCTCCGAATCCGACATGTTTCCCCCAAAAAGGGAAACACTATAGAAAATTCAAAATCAAGCTGTAAATAAAAATTATAAATAAGAATTATGATTGTCTTTAATTCAAAAAACATGATTTCACAGTATATTTTACAAAAATTTTGTAAAATTGCAAATGCACTGAGTATAGACTATAAATAACAAGAATATTTTTTCAATAAATAATATAAAACTCATAAATTTTTTGAGGTTATTTTGTATTTATATTATAATTCATTTCCTTATTTAAAAATATTATTAATCAATATATATATATATATATATATATATATATATATATATATATTGAAAAAAATTTCAAATATGAATATTTAATGAAGTTTTCGACACCCAATTGGTGAAAATGAACAAATAGCATTTTTAATTCATCTGTCAATGTCAATTTTGCAAAATGTATTTGAATTTTATAAACACTTGTTTTATGAATAATTTACAATACAAAAAGAACCGTTTTTTAAATGACATCTATTTTTCTAGTTTACAATAAAAAATAAATTAAAATATTCAAACTAAAGGAAGAATAATGCAATTCAAAAGTTTTGAGGTTAACTTTTAAGGTCTTGAATTAAGCTCTTTACCAAGAAAATATATAACTTTAAGAGCATAATTTTTTCATAAATAATTATTCTAGACTGTTCAAAATTATAAAATATGAATAATTTACCAATTGAGAGCATTGTTATTTAAAATTTTATGGTATAAATAGTAATCTGATGGTATTGAATATGGATTTAAATGGTATGAAAACAGCAAAAAATTACTTGTAAATCTTGAAAAAGTGTACAGTTGCAATTAAAATATCCATACTTACAATATTTGATTAATTTTTAATTATAAATCATTTACACTGACCTTTATAAACTTAAACGTTATAAATCTCACTAATCTCACTGTCATACGTTACTGTCGTGACGCGTCCATGATTTCTTTGCCATTATTTTCGTAAGTATACGTTTACGTAATTCGACGTATTTTACTTACCTTATGTTAAAATATTTTAAATTTTAATTTAAATATATTATTTCGTCTTGTTTCGTATATTTTAATCCCTTTCAATATTAATTATACAAAAAAATTATTATTTATTATTGTAATATAATTATCATTTATCTATATATATATATATATATATATATATATATATATTAATAAACGTATTTTTAATGTAAATAAAAATAGGTTTAATATATCTTTAAAAATTTAATTAAAAAATAAATAATTAATTATTTATATAATATGTTATTAATTAATGTAGATAAATATTTTTAAAAATTCTATATTTTAACAATTTAAGGTGCTTGATTCTATATATAGCAATTAATAAATTACGGGAATCAACATCTGTAATTAAATATATAATTATTGATAATTAATTTTAATCAATTTATTGTTGAGATTGTATAATTTTAATTATAAATTATATAATTTTACGAATATTGTGAATAAAACAAGTGAATTAATGATTTGAAAATGATTTTTTATTACATCTTAAATAAGCAAAGTGTACACGAGTAGTGCGCTTTTTGAATTTTAGAAAGATATAAAATTTCCTGTGTTGACTAAATATGTAAAATATTGTTGAATTATTATGCAATTATCGTGTACATAAATCCAATATAGAATAAATATGTAATTCGATGTTGTTTTATTTGTTTTCTAAAAAAAGAACATAAAGATGAAAACAGAAATAATTTTTTATCACCACTCAATGTACAACGAAGCAGATATTATATTCACGACAGGGAGTTATTGAAACTATTTAATTAAATATATTATTTCCTATATTTTTCTAATCATAGAAAAATTGTAAGAAATTTGTTTAACTCCACTGATACGTAAAAGCTCTCTTAAATTAAAACTGGACAGGTAAATACTTGTCTTTTTGGTACATATTTACATATTTACACATTGCACGAAGCACCATTGATAATAATAATAATAATAATAATAATAATAATAATAATTATTATTATTATTAGTTCTGTCTAAAGCTTTTAAAATCTATCGGATTGAAATGTAAATGCTTCTTTTTCTTTATTTTAATGTAATTTTCACACGTGCAAAAAAAAGCAATTTTCTTATAGTTATATATGTATATATTATTTAAGAGAAAATACGCGAAATATATTATAGGCACGCAATTTTGTAAAGATCAATATCAGATAATTGCCAAAAAGAATGACATTTTTTTTCTTAAAATGTTTTTACTAAAATATTGCTAATGAAGAGTGGATTATCGAATATTTTTTTTAAGCTTTACATGAAATCCGATAGTGAGTTACATAATTTGCTGTACATTATAACACTAATTCTTGACAGTAATTACAAAAATATTATTACCTATTTACTACACGACTAATCATGAATAACAATTTTATTTTTGCATTACAAAAAAAAGTTAATTAAAAAATATATATGCACAAATTTTAATTTGAAATCTCTAAAATTCTCAATTAAATAAATACTGTTAGATAAACTAAAAACACGTTCCTTGAATAAACACTGTACAAAAAATATAAATAAATTAACAATAAATTTAAACAATTCTGTAAAAAAAAAGAAAAAAATTGAAATAGATTGTTAGACAATGATTATTAAATTTTCTATCTTTTAACATAGAAAATAAATTATAATAAGACTCGTAAATTTAAAGATTCATTAGCATTGATATAAATGAAATAATGGTTCATTGTCCTGAATTAGTGTAACAATGTGTACAAGCGTACAATAGTATTATCACACACTGTTATTTTAATTTCACTTTCAATTGTTTCTTCTTTTTTTTTTTTTTATTTGAAAAAGTAAACATTAAAAGTGCCTCTTAATTTTCTCTCTATCAGATAAAGATAACTGAGAGTACTTCGTTTCTCTTGAACATTTTCCGAGAGCGAGAGTTCTTCCTAAATATACGAAAAAGGTCCAGTTTGTAATGACGTGTAGAATAATAAATATGCGCTGGCATTTTGTGATTTTACTTGATTTGGCGAGACTTCAGCAACAGTGTGATCATCATATTTGTACCACCTTGAAATTCAAATTTTTAATTTTATACTTTACACTTTATTAACAGATAAAAATTGATAAAAATATTAATTTAATTTTTTTGAATAAATAAAAATCAAAAATTACATTCTTGAAAATGTCTTATATTTCTAACATAAATTAAAAAAAAAATCTATTATAAACGGCATGAAATAAATTTTAATTTATAAATAATGACTCACTTGTTTTGAGGGGCACTTTTACAATACGCAGTGTAATGTCCTCCTTCCATGGTCCCATAATGATTAGACATGGCATACAGACTGTAATTATATCCTAAACTATTGGTATTGATGTTCGTATTTGTGTCATTTACTACATAGGGTCTCAAATTGAAATCCGTTAAGGGAAAATCAACTTGTGTATTTCTTTTTTCTAACCAACCGTCACTTTCTCCAAAACGATTCAAATGTATAACGACAATTGGCGCTAATCGAATAAAGTCAAATTTCTTCGTTGCCTCTCTTTCTACTTTGCAATGTGGACATTTCCAACCGAAAACTCTTTGTCCGCTGACGTATTTTTTCACACATTCCTATAAATTAATCAAATATTAAATTTTAAACATTTCTTCATTAATCAAGATTAAGTAATTATAATGTGTTAATTAATTAAACAGTTAAATAATTTTTTTTTTTAGTTTTTTAATTAATAATGAAACTTACGTCTAATGTGCATTTTGTTGGAGGTAAAGACATTGTCAAATTATTGAACGTCTCGTAAATTACACTATTTTTTGCACACGTGGCACAAGTTATTGTTGATCTATATTGACCAAAGAATAAACGTGAAATTATTGAATTTTGTCCATTCATTGCTTTAATCCATTCTTTTTCGGCAGATGTCAAAAGATCGTTGACTATAATTTTATCCTTCTAAAATGAAAAAGAAAAATTTATTATTTCTTAAAAGAAATATGAAATCACAATAAATTTAACCAATAATAAATATAATTTTGAAATAATTAATTTTTTTATTTACAAAAAATGTATGTATACTTACTTTTTTTAAATCATTATGCATCCACTCCAATAAAAATGTTAAAAATTCGTGAGAATCTTGTTGCTCAAAACTTTCGAATTGTAGCCTATATTGTCCAATGACAACCTAGTAAAAAATCATTTTATTTACTATGAATGATTAAATAAAAAATATTGTCATTCTTATAAAACAAGTTTTAAATAAAAATTCAAAAATTTCTAAATATAAAAAAAAATTTTTTTTTTAAATTTAAATAATACCTTTAAATCACGTGGTGATATACTTTTATATTGACCACGCCAAAGGGCTTTTATTACATGAGCAACTTCTTCAGTTACTTGAGCTTGAGTTCCATTTTCATTACTATTATTAAGATCATCTACATACAAATTATCATTAAAGTACTTTGCTAAATTTGCCGTGTTGCTCAAACACTGAATGATACTGTTCATATAGCACGAATTTCCCAAATTTTTAAGTCCTGTGATTCCTGGATGCTAAAAATTAAAAAATTCTAATCTAGAATTTACTTATCATAAAATATATAATAATTAAATGTATTTTTCTTAAAAAAAAAAGTTGTAACTTGCATTATAAAATTAATATTCAAACATATTTCTTTGAATAACATTAAAAATCAATTTTTAAAAATATTAAAATTTATAATTTTTTATTAGAAACTGATTAGTTTATTATTTATATTTATTATTTAGTTACTCCGCAAAGTAATTATAATGTATGAAATAATAAAGTATAAAGTCACGTTCATTATGAATTTTTTTGATTAAATACCTAAAATTCAATGATATTTCTTTAAAGAAGAAATGATTTTTTCAATTGGACAATTAACAAATTTGTAAGTGACAGTTCAAAATTCTCAATTATTACCTTTCTAAAATAGCTGATTATATGTTGTGGAATCAATTTCTTTTTAATATAAACCATTTCAAAGTACACAAATGAATTGAAACTGTGTTACTTAAAATTTTAATTAAAAACCACTAAAACCTACACATATAACAAAACTGTCAAAAGTTCCTAATTAATAATTATTATATAATTTTGCTTATTTATTCGAAAGCATTGAATTCTTTTTTTTCACTGTGGAATTCATCTTGTTGCACTTTTCACAATAACATTCGTCAAACACTATTTCGTACAAGAAATATGAAAAATTCATTTGATTAGTTGATCAGCAGTTTCTGTTCATGTGTGAATGGAATGAATATTCAGCTGGTAGTAAGTAGTGGCCGCTAGAATTAATTGGATTGGGAAACCTAGCAAGTAAATAGTATTTCCGCGGACATGTGCAGATGTTTTCTATTAGACACAATTTGCTAAGGAAAATTGTCTCATTTCACGAAAAAGTTCTAACTACTAATTTTCCCCCATTTTCCAATTTATTGACCTTCACTTTAGGAATTTTATATATTCTATTTTTAAATTCGAAATTAAAATTTAATTTAAAACAAATTTTTGATTTTTAAAAATGTTAAAACATTTTATATTTCAATTTACTAGGTACCTGAAGATGTTTAATTATCTGACTTTTAATGAATGATGAAAAATACTGTCTACTTCATAAATAGATAACACACAAGGTCAAGCAACAATACAGTATACATTTTACACTAGTTTATACAATTTTTTACAATATTTTTCTTGCTTTTATTAATTGTCCTTCTTCATTAAAAAAAAAAAAATGTTTGTAAAGTGGCTAAAATTAGAGGTACTAAACAAAATCAAGTTTTTTTTTATTTTGCTATTCACTAACTGGCGCTTGTCTTACGAAACAGTTGAGAAATTTTCCAGATAAGAAGGTAGACTGTAATGCGTTCTGAAGTTGTTTTGTCTAGTTAAAATTTCTCTTCTTCATTAATATGTTAAATACAATCGATATTAATTTAATACATTCCACTTATAGCGATTAGTATTTATCTTGACTTTATAATATAATTATTTTCTCTGCACATAATTCAAACTTTTTTTTTGTTATCAGTACTTCCTTAGTCAAGTGTTAAAAAATTCTTTACAGTAGCTCGATATATACTCACAGGATTACTTTTGTCCACTACATTGAAGATTTTGATTTGCACCATAATTTTTAAAAGAAACTAATTACAAAGACAAAGTCAAATAAACAAAAGTTTTATATTTTTAAAGAGTTCGAAATTCGATAAGAAACTAGGAAGTTGATTTATTTCATTTGTTTTTTATTTATCAATCAAATTTTGAAATTGTTATCCGAATTGCAAGAATGGAGTGCTGCCAGGCAACTGACACGTGATAACAAAATTATCTCATATTAAACGTAATGTCACGTGAACATATAAGTATATATATATATATATTACTATTATCAGCACGGATTCTGATTTGTGATAAAGTTTGAATTTATTTGCCAACATCTTGGAATTTATAACGCTACCAATGTAATCTGATTTCTATAAGTTAGCCGTATATTCAAAATATAATTTTTCATTTTTATAATTTAATTGGAGCAATAAATTTTTTTTTTAATTTCTCAAAAATGAAAGAAAATAAAAACGATTGAAATATATTTTTAATGATTGATCTTGTATATTGCACGACAACTTGAACCTTTTAAAGATGACGGAATTTATAATCTTTTAATATTATTAACATCTCACGTCAGAGGCTGAAAGTAGTCGCGTGTTCAAGTATTAATGTTTCATTGTTAATTCACGTTTCGTTAATGAAATTATGTCGCACACTAAAATCTTGTTAAACAATACTCTAGTTTTAAGTCAAAATGCGTAGAAAACTATAAAACTATACGATAATGAATGCCACCAATTCAAAAAAGATAATGCGCTAAAGATTGATAATAGAAAAAAACCTATTAAACAACTATCTAAATATCATTGACATGAATTACTCAAAAATTACTCTTAAAGACTTTTTTCAATTTATTTACTTTATTTGAAAACATTTTTTATATGCTTCAATTTTCATTTAATTTTATCTATTTCAAAGGGCAATAAACAAACTTTGATTTTGAAATTAAAAAAGAAATTTTTTTCAATTCAAAAAACTTCATATAAATAAAAAATTTCGATAGAAGAAAAAAATTTTGGAAAATAAAAAATTTTTGATTAATTGTTTAAATAATAAAAAACAAGTAAAAAAATATATGTTGGAAAAAAATAAATAGAAAATACATTAACATAATTTAAATTGAGAAAAATTATATGTTAAATAAATAAAATTTTCTAAATGAAAACAATGGCTTGTAATTGTCAAAGATTCGCTACTTAATTTGTATTATTAGAATACTACTTACTCTCTCTCCTCTAAAGACCGGTTCCATTCGGTCTTCCCGATCCTTTACATTCATTGACGATCGCTTAATATTATTATTTACATTTGTAATTCGGTTTTCCTTCGATACCATACTTGGCTTAGAGGTTCTATCTATTTCTGGCACTTTTCGATCTTCGATCTTAAAATTAAAAACACAAAACATATCATCAGCATTCTTATTTTTTGTAATTAATATAAACAGTTGCTTTCAATTTTTTACCTGGGCAAGGTTTGGACTAGAATATGATCGGGTAAGACTGGTATTTGTTGAAGAACTATCTTTTAATGGTTCCTTACGAATGTCACTTTCATCAATTTGCGACAGGGAATGTTTTTGTTCTCGTTTCTGCTTAAATGATCTATATAAATAATATATTAAATAATAAGTATCTATCATTGTGATTAGTTTCGTTTAGTTTTTAAATTCATTTAATTTTTTAGAAATCTTCCAAATGGTTTAACACAGTACAAAATTAACGTTCTTATTACACAAATTTATCAAAACAATTTGATGAAAACATATTATTATGTCTTTCTTTGAAATCATAAACTATTAACAATATCACAACAAATTATGACAAATTCAAATAGATATCAAAAGAAAAATTGAAATTTAAAAAAAAACAAAGGTGTAAATTAAGAATTCAGCAAAATTTTAAACTCACTCATGAATCTTCTTTCGTTCAGACGAGATTGATATTTGGTTTTCTTCATTTATTAAAAATCGTGATTGTAATTGTTGATTTACAATTTTCAAAGCATCTTCTTTCGAATAATTCATAGATCTAAGTTCATTTTCAAGTTGAATGCGTTTTTCCTCCTAAGTAGAGAAATTTAAATATTTATCATATGAAAATAATAATAATTTTTGTTTAGATTAAAAAGCAAATCAATAATTTTGAAAAAGAATTTACCAGACTTTTTAATTCTTCCTTCTTTAAACGACATTTTTCATAAGCCATCTCTATAGATTGACTATCTCCATTAAGCTTACATTGAAGCCATTTTCTTTCCAATTGCAATATTATACTGTCTAATTCCTCATATTTTTTTTTCACTCCATAAAGATTCTCCATTAACGAAGTGATTCTTGATTCTGTATTTTGTGGCAACAAAGAAGCAGGTTTATTGCTTCGATCAAACGTTGGTTTTGGAATATCAATTATTTTGGTATTAAAAATTTTGGCTTGTGAAATATCTTTTTTCTTTATAATTACTTTATCATCTAATCCATTTTCAATTAAAAATGAATTCACGGGCTTTTCATCGTCTAACGATTCTGAAGATCTCCATTTATTTGCTGAATCGTATGTCTTATTCACCGGTTGAATATTTACATCTCTACTAACAATATGATTATTAACTTGACTCTCCCTTAATATTTTCTTATCAACTAATGTATTTTTCTTATTTGACTTGTATGTATTGAGAATCTCATCGTCTATCGATGGAAATTCAAAATTATCTAAAATTTCATTTAGTGAATTTTCTTCAACATCGGGTGCCTTTACATCGTGATTTGTTACAAATTGTGGATAACGATTGAGCCACTCTTTATATCCACCTTGTAAAATTACTATTCGTTTGTATTCTGCACCGGGATCCCAATTTTGCAATAAATCCTTCATTGTATTTAGACGATCGTTGCATTTTAAAAATTCTTCAGATGAATACCAATCTAATAATACAACAATGTCGGAGGATTTACGATTTTCAAACAATTGTTTTGTAGCTTTATCTTTAAATAAATTTTCAAAACGTTTACACAATATTCTGAAATAGAAATTGTCTTATTTAATTTTTTTCTATGCTTTAAAAATAAAAATTTGATGAATTATTTCTTTATTAAAAGATAATATATTAAAATTCAATTATAACGTACCCTTTTTTAATTTCTTCAGAAGGAATGTTTATACATTTTTCATTTTGAATATGAGAATTTGTGAAATCATTTTGCGGCCTAACATCAATGAGAAGAATTTTATTGTCTGACGTTTTTAATAATTGATAAAGTTGCATGCACGTTATTTCTTCCGAATCTTCGATGATTGGATCTTCGGGTGGTATTTCAGGTAATGAAGGTATTTCAGGATCGTCGACATAAGACTTAATTAAAGAAGACTTAGCTTTTGTATTACTAAGTTCACTATTTACAGTTTTTGCCTTATTAATTCGAGATGTTAAAAATTCATTTAATTTTTGAAGTTCATTTTTGATTTCATCCTCCTAAAGACATAATTAAAGAATTTTAATTTAACAATACAGTAAACAATTTTTTTTAAATTTAAAATGTTTTTCATAATTACATCTTTTTCGCACACGAGAAAAGAAAATGTTTTTGTTTTTTGTTTCTCACGGTTTTTGATGTACTCGACACAATTTTGCCATCGCCGAAAAAATATATATGCTTCTTCTTCTTTGTGCTGTTTTAATGCGCTTTTTCCTTGATCACGTATTGAATTAAGTCTTTCAAACACATTTTTAGGATCACGGCCAACCAAATTCACCTGTGCTGTTTTATTGAGTTCTTGTATTGATTTAATTCGATTCTCATTCCTTGAATTAGCCATGTTCAATATTCATAAAGAATCTTTTAAGCAACTTTGTTTTACTCTCTAAACTGTAAAAAGTCTAAAAGTTTCAGTTAATTAATCTGTTATTTAATCTTGGGTTTAAAGGCTTTGGTTAAATGTATACATAAAAATTTTGTTACTTCAGTATATACAATATAAAACATTTTAGAGATAATAGATTATTTTTATGAAATTTAAGTTAATACTTTATTAAAACGAACGTAAAGAAATTAAATAAAATCAAGAATAAAAACTTTTATACAGGAATTTTGAAGGTTATTGATTACACTTTATATATAGATATATATATATATATATACATATATATATATATATACATATATTATACGGTTAGCATTAACTTTACGATGATATTGGATTATTTTAGTTATTTTTAAGACTATAAATAAAAAATAATCTACTTTAATAATTTGATAAAAGTGCAAATATGATTGAAAAACAGTATGAAATATTTTAAAATATTATTCAAGGACTAGAAGTATTGGACCCAGAAGGCACTATCCCAATACAATATAATAATCTGATTATGCATATTAAAAAATTGCTAATTTAAACTCACCTTTGACTGACAAGAGTTAGTGTTTTACGTTGAACATTTAAATATACTTTAATTAATTTTTTTATCTCTGAATACCAGATCCAAAAGAGAAAATTTTTTAATGGAATGTTTTTTCTGTCACAAAATCGATATAAATGCTTTATTGCATTATACGACAGTTAAATACATAAAGTCACTACTTGCACAAATTATTTCTCACAGTATATTTTTTAAAGACAAAAATATCAATTTTTATAATGAGAAACGTATTTTAAACGCCATTATCAATTACTTCCTTTACTTCATTTTGGCCTTGTGAGGTTAGGTTAGCTGTCAAGCGACTGGAGCGACATTATTTTTCACGACTGCGCTCCATAACTTTTTCCAAACAACACGTGGGAGAAAAAGGGAAAATTTGTCAATTTTTATTGTATTCTCAATCTTTTTATAATATTTATGATACATTAATTGACACTTGTTCGTTTACTAAAGAAAATTTGAATTTACATAGATTGATTGAGATTAATATTTTAATTAACCTTGACATATAAGAAATTTGGTCAATAAAAGTGAGTTTCTAGGTTAACTCAATTTTACAAAGTTTGTTTTTTTGTTTGTTATTTTTTAACAAATTCGTGTAGAATTTGCACTTGAAATGGTAGTTTTTACTTGTAACAATTGTGGCGAGTGTTTACAAAAGCCGAAGGTTGCAAAACATTTTCAATTTAGTAACCGATGTAATCCTGTGTTTCTCACGTGTGTAGATTGCCATAAGGACTTTCGGTAAGACTTAGCTTTATATACTAGGAGTTTTTTTTTTTTTAAATGAAAAACTATATAAAAACTTATTTCAATGTACATAAATTTACTCGATAATAATGATTAATAATTAGTTAATAAAAAACTTAATCTAAAAATATTAATTTTTTAGAGGAGATGAATATGTTAAACATACAAAATGTATAACAGAAGATGAAAGATACGGCGGCAAAGGATTTACACTAAAAGCAAGTGCCAATAAAGGAGAACGAAAACAACAAGAATGGATCAATGTTGTGCAAAATTTACTCAATACTTCGATGAATTTATCATCAGCTGAAAGAAATATTTTAAATACTCTATCAAAACATGAAAACATTCCAAGAAAGAAAGCTAAGTTTCTTAATTTTATTCGTAGTGTATTTGGAAATAGAGTAAACATGACTGTCATTGAAAGTCTTTGGACGAAAATGGAAGAAACGTTTAAAGAATCATCACAAAAAATTCAATCTTCATCTGAAAATGACTCAAGTAAGTTACATTATTTTAATTTTTAAATATATATTTAACCTTTAAACTGATACGTGCCGAAAAATCACACTAACTGATTTCACCGGTCTGTCAGACCGCTATTCCTTTTTTATGTTATTTTATTGATTTTAAATTTTGTAAAGTCAATTGTTGTATATATTTTTTATTTTTTATGATTAAAAAGTCAATTTCTATATTGTTTCGTTTTAATTTTTTTATTTTTACATAATTTAGAACGCTTTAAAAAAACGCTTTAAAAAAAAGTTATAAGCGATGAAAGTTTTAATAGCGGTCTGTCAGACCGCTAAATCAGTTTAAAGGTTAATATATTTGTATAAACTGATAATTTAACTTTTTACTTAAAGATTCTAAAAATGGAAAAATAGAAAAATTAGAGGATAACGTTTCAGAAAACCAAAATAATGAAAATATAGTTAAAGAAAATGGTGATTCTGAGAAACATAATGGTACTAACAACAGTAATGAATCTGAACAGCAAGGAAAAAAGAAGAAAAAATCGAAGAAAAGGGCTTTGGAAACTACTGAAATTCAAGAAGCAGAAGAGAAAGAAGAAGAGTCAGTTGCTAAGAAAAGAATGAAAACTGATTTAAAGGAATTAACTGAAATTTCTGCATCACAAGAAGAAGATAGTTCTAAGTTTTCCTGGAAAAATATTATAATAGAAGTTGTTTCGACAAAAGGGGAAATCTCATTGAAGAAGTTACGAAAAAAAGTTGTAGCCCGATATATGGAACATTCGAATAATTCTAGTAATGAGAAAGCAACTTCAAAGTTTGATAAGAAAATTAAAAAAGTAAGTGAAATTAGTATTAATGACGACAAAGTTAAATTAACGTAAATTTGCACTAGTTAATTCTGTTAAAAAATGGAGAACAACTTTAATGAAATAAAAACATTTTTTGTATGTTTATTGCTTCAAAATAGCAATTATTAATAAACTATATTGTTTAAAATTAATTTTAATTTATTATTATATTTTTTCTTTTGTATAGACCTTTGTTTACAGTTTAAGTTTGATACCTATACAATCTTGCAAATATTTGAGCTTTTTTTTTTTTTTTTTGAATTTGGCGCGTAATAGCAGACGATAAGCGTGAGTGTCATATTCAAGATGGCGACAAAACGGTGGTGGTGGTCCGTTGTTTTTCAATTTGTTTAATCGTTTTTGCGAATAAAAATGAATTTAATTTTCTAATAATATGAAAAATGAAAAATTATGGTTATTTGTGAATAAAAATTTGAAGATAATTATTTATTTCTACTTGAAGTCCAATGTCAATGTGTCTCGCAAATTTTTTAACGAACAATTGAGAGAGCTGTGTGTCATCTTATGCACTCGTTTAACTGAAACGAAATAAGTGTTGTAAGATTACTGCCACACCTTTACATTTTTCACGTATGCGTAGGTATGTAACGTTTTTGCGGGGATTCACTGTAGAAAGCTTTTTCTGCAGAACGAGTTCTTTGTGAGTTGTGGGTGTCGGGAGAGCAGAATCACCGCATCGATTTTAAGAGCGACATCAAAAGAACAAGGCAAGTACATGAGATTTTTCACATTCTTGATAATCAGCTGTCACTTTCGCAGCTTCTTTGTCTTTATTTCAAAACAGATGCTTTAAGAATACTTTTTTTTTATTTTTAAAGTTTCTTTACAAGCTTGAGATTAATAAATTTTTTTACTATTGAATTTTATATATTTTTTCACAAATTCCTTTTATAATTTTATATATTATTTTACGAAATATATCCTGGTATTATATAAGTTAATAAATATCTTTTGTTATTCTTTGAATTGGTATGATATGAGAAATAAAAATATAACAACTTTATTAACATTTTTCATTTTTTGTTCTTTTTATCGTTTGTAGGAGGTGTTTATACAATAAAAATTATTGCTTACATTAATTATAAGTTATAAAATTGTCATTTGTTTATGTGCATATTAATTGATAGAATTTTAATAAAAGTTTAACATTTTTTTAGTGTTTAAATAGGTATGTTTTAATGTTTAAATTCGGTAAATGAAAGTTTAAGGAATATTGCGTGCTTCAAGATTTAAACGAGCGAAAGTTTAATCACTAGAATAAAATAAAATTAAAAACTCAATTCTAATTGCTTTAATGCATATATGCATTCGAGATTTATTAGCAGATCCTTTTTAGATAATTCATAAGGTGATAAAAGTAAAAGTTAATTTCTACATTGTTTTTTTTTTTGACAGAAAAAAAAATTGCTATCACTTTTTAAATTGCAAAGTAAAAAACAAAGAATTGTAACTATTAAATATCTTTTAAAAATATTTAAATGTTTATAATTTGTATTTGTTTTATGAAAAAAGAACATTTCATGTCTGTGGAAAATATTTAATCTTAAGCGTGATAATTCTGTGTGCTTTTGTTACAATCTGAGAATGGAAAAGTCACTTTCCCGTAATTATATATAGTTAAAATTTACTGTTGCTTTTTTGTAGAGTAACAAGTACCTTTGTCTTATTTTACGTTATAGAATTTTACGAACTTTATAATTCCTCAAACTTAGAAAAATAAGTGTTTAAACTCATACTCTGCTTTAATCAGTTCTCTAAATTCAAATTAATCAAAATTTATAAGTCAAATTATAATAAATTTAGAAATAATTATAATTTAGAGTGACAAATCAATTAAAATAATAAATTATGTTAAATATGAAGAATAAAATATAATTTAATTCACTTTTCAGATTTTAAAGTATAATCAAGTAACAGAAAGATGTTAAGAAGACGAAGAAGAAGAAATCATTGGTGAAAATAATATGTTTATTTGATATACAATATTATAGAATCATGCTGCAGGCGGTTCGAATGTTAACTGAATTGGCTCGACCATCTGAAGATCGAGAACGTTCGAATGCACGATCGATGGATGGAGCTTCATCATCAACGGATATTGAAGGTATAACAAAAATAGTTTTTAAAAAATTACATTATTGTCAATATAATAATTTAAGTATTATTTAAAATTTAATTTAAAAAATAAAACAAACATTTATGCTAACGTAATAAGAAATCAAAAAAAAAAAAAATTAAATTTTATTTCATAGTGATTTTAATTGAAGTTAGAGTATAATATAGGTTCCAGTGAGGGAGTTGTAAATTGATCAAAAAGTTTATTGCGTAATATTTTAACGACTCTTGCACTCTATAAAACAAGAATAGGGGAAACTGAACTTATAATATTCAATAAACTTCAATAGAAATAGAATGAAAATATATATTATAGTTTAATCGCTAAGATTCGCCATATTAATTTGAAATATTCGTAATTCAAGCTATATTAATATTACAAAAGAAATTATTTTAAATAAAGGAAAAAATATTGTCAAAATGTCAACGACTTTTATAATTTTTTTTTATAATTCCAGGTGATTTGAGAAATATCTCAGTACAATTTCGAGAAATTCACAAGAATGGTTGGCTAAGAAGAACTGACAAAACTGACAAGGAGATATGTAAATTTTGGGTAGCATTTTGTGTTCATGATGATACGGAGCCGCGACTCGAGGGCTACGTAGATCAGAAACAGGCGACAACTCATTCGCCAATGTGGTCTCATTCACTTAGGAATGTATTGCACTTGTCACCGACTCTTTGTGCAACACAGCGTAACGACTATGAATTCTGTGTCAATTTCAATGATGATCGTGTTCTGAGATTAGCAGCGCCCACGTATCAAGCTATGTACGATTGGGTGCAAGCGGTTACGAGAAAGTTAACCGATATGAAAATTCTCCGTCCCAAGGAAAACGTCTACTCCAAAGGTCCAGAACGAATTGTCACACGAGATCCCACGAGTCCTTTGCCACCACCTCCTCCTTCCACAATTGGGTACATTTTTACTATTATTCTTGCAGTCAATTATTTCTTTTAATTAACATTTAAGGAATTTTATTTTAAAAATTTGAACTAATTAAAATTGAATTTTCGTTTCGGCATAATTGTCAAATAGTTTTTTTTTTTTAAATTGTTAAATATAATTTTTAATAAAATGATTTTAGAACGCCAAATACACAACGACCAGTAGCATTATCGCCATCAGCAAACGCTGCCAATACTTCTCCTTTTATGAGAGAAATAAATTCGGGAACAACACCGTCAGTTTTCACGTTTGACGATGTAAGTGTTGAGGAGCATAGATTGCGACCAGGAACAACACACACGCAAGCACAAAGAACAACACCGCCTATTCCAAGTCCTCGAATTCCTCCACCGCCAACACCGTCTCCGTCAATAGTTACAACAGCAACATCCACTACAACGGCAGCAGCAGCAAGTAATGATGATGCGGGTAATTCAAGCTATGAAAGTGTCTTTCTCGCTTCATCGCATCCTCCCAATGAGGATAGTACATCTACTGTAATAAATTCTACACGAAATGATGAGTCAAGTGAACGTTATGCTGCGCTTATGGAATACAGGAGTTCGGGAAATGCTGAGAGTGAAAATCCGGTTGAGCAGTCGTCGAGAGAAGTTCGAGGAATTACGTCTAATATCCGTAGACAATTAACACTTAGAGAGCAACAGGTTATGCATCTTAGACGTGAAATGAGTCATCCTGCTGGTGTGAGACTGCAACTGGGAAGACGAGATTGCAAAGATGGGATTGCGTTTGTTGATACATTTGGCGCTGTTTGGTAAGAAAAATTTAATACAATTTTTTTTATAAAAATTTATAGTTAAAAATAGAAATTAATTTAACTTAAGTTTTATTAAATTATTTTAAAATCCAACGTATGGAAATTTGTAGACAGATTATTATACTAGATTACTATATAGTTGAATTGGTAGAATTTTTCGTAAAATAAAATTTTCATTTAACTGAATTTCCATTAAATATAATTCCCATTTTATAGAATTTTAATTCAACCAAATTTCTATTGTAAACAACATTTTTATTTTAACTAAACTTTGATTAATTTAATTCTATTAAATAAATTTTCTTTTAAATTAATTGAAATCTGGTTATATAAAAATTCTATTAATTATATATAAATTGACATTATAAACAAAAAGTAAGATTTATAATTGAAAAACAATAAAATAATTAAACATTTTTTAAAATGTGAAATTATATTTTGTATATTTTATTTTATATGAAAAGAAGATTCTGTTGTTAAAGAGTTAAATTTTAATGTAAAAGTGAATAATTTTTTGTTTTTTAAAAATGTTATTAATATATTATGTAAAAATTTATCTTTGGTTTTGTAGGGTAGCTGGTTGGAAGCAGCGTGAACATCCATTATTGCATAATTTTTTACACGTTGGTGATTTGGTGCTCAGTGTTGCAGGAGTGCCTCCGGCTGGAGCAGCGGCCGTTAAAAATATACTCAAAAATTGCACGACTCCCAGAGTATGATATTGTTAAACCTCCTTAGAAATATTAAAAAATATTGCAGAAACGTTACAAATATTTTTAATATTAATAATAATTAATAAATTTAAAAAAAATATAATGTTTTAGTATTACATTTTTTTCACTAATTAAATAAATATAAATAATATAATAAAAATTAAATAATTGAATGTTGAAAAAATTAAAATTCTATTATTTCAATTACTCATCATAAATTTTAATAATTCCAGGTTGAAATGATTGTGAAGCGATTACCACACGCTCGTGCATTGACCTTAACTAGAAGATTGGAGAGCGACGATTTTGGATTAGAAGTAAATGCTAACGAAGTGTCGAGAGTCACTGGAGTAGCTCTTTCACAAGGACTTCCTTCCTATGTTCCTGCAGCGGATCCTGCAGCGCCTTTAGGTACGACTGTTACTTGGTCTCTTACTGAAGTTAATGGACGACCATTAAATATTTTCGAAGGTGGTGCTCAAGAGCGTCTCATTGCTGTGGGTCGTGATATTTCAATTGTCTTACAGCCCACGGATCTTGTTTCATCCCTTCGTAAAAGATTACGAGCAATTCGTAATTATAAAAACTTTGTGGTGCAGTGAACAATTTTGTTGTTTTCTCAAAAAAAAAAAAAAAAAACGATTTTTAATGAACAATTTGTGCAACACAAATTTAATGATAGTTTTGGGCAAATTACCTAGGATTACTTTTTTTTCAAATCAAGTTCTCGAGGCTGCCTATTCATCTGAAAATGATGATTACGACGATTGCTCACTTAAAGAGGTCTGTTATTAATCGTTTAAAGATTTGAATTTGATCTTCAGATTAAAACAAAAACGTAGTCAAACTTTTAGAATATAATTGTACTGAATATGTCTAAAGTTCTAAACATTCCTAATTTTTCTTCAAATTGAATAATAGGTAAAAAAAACAAATTCAAAAACTTATAACAATATGATTAAAAAGAAGTGAGAATAATTTTTGAAAATATTATTTTAAAATTATTTATTTAATTAGATAGTGAAAGTTTAGAACTTTGGGAATATTTGTATTGATAGAATATGACAATTGGAAGGTATCTTCAAAGTCCAAGAAAGCCAAGCATGCCCTGTGATAATGAACGTGTACACATGAATATGTTGCGCTATGTCCAACCCCAGTGACTGAATTTTAAGAAATAATTTCCATAAAATTTTTTACATTTTGTCTGATCTGGAGAATTGTCGAGATTTTTTCTCGACGGATCTGAACCAGGTTCTTGGACACGCCGTGATATTCAATATTAATGAGAAGAAATTTAAAAAGTTTCTTCAAATTTATACAAAAAAAAAAATAACAAAAGAAAAACAAAATCAATAATAATCAAGTGACTTATACACTTAAAAAAAAATCTTTTTAATAAATAAGACGTTGATTAAAATTAATGTCTATTTAATGTTAATGAGTGAATATCTGTAAATGTTACAGTAATTTTTATAGTTTATCACATAAGTTTAAAATTTAAACTTGTGTCTTAATACGATTTTTTGTCCTAATTGAGTTAAAAGTATATATTTACAATGCAGTGACTTTGCTGGATTGTGACAATAAATAAATAGATGGATTATTGCGCTGATCTATTCATATAATAATTATTGCCAAAGGAATAAAAAAAAAAGAAGCCTGAGTTATTTATAAGCTAAACTACCAATCGAGAGATTTTGACGCTGATTGAAAAGTCGGACTGTTATCAGAATAAAATTGCGAGTACCATTTACGAAATTCTGTAATTGCACGATCTTGTTTTACTAATAATGGCGTTTTCGTGAAGGTTTTGTTGTTCCAGATTTCAATGTCTCGTTGAAACATAAATGTTTCTCCGATTATCACAATTTTCGCGTAAGGGCCAAGAATTCGCGATGAGTACATGTGATGTGTTACACGTTGCAACATAGGCCCGACTGGAGTTACCGTTTGAAGAATATACATTGGACCCCAAAAACTATCGAGTTGCAGCTCAACGTATCCTGGACCAATTTGCATTGCCTTCACGGACAATTCTAATAATTTATATTTTTCAAATAGAATCAAACTGTGTTTGAGATGAAGGATGGCTTTATGTTTTTCGTTTGGTTCACAATTTTTTTTCTTGACTACACCATTTGAAATTGTTGCGTCAATTGCTGAGATTTCTTTTATTTCCAAATCGTTTTTGCATGGAGTCCATTTAGCATCAGTCCACGAGTGTCTCATCAGGCCTGGGAAAATATCGCTTAGAAACATTGCTGGTCCATGCACGGAATTGAGATGTGCCACATCAGCACCATTCTCTGGAATATCCTTAAAAAAAATTAATTAATTTTTATTTTACATGTTTAAATTAATTTTTTTTAATTTTATATCGATTTTTTTTGTAGTAAAAAAAATCTTTATTTAGAAAACAATGAAATTTTTTCAAAACAGAGGAAAAATTTTGAATTTTATTCTACAAATTTTAACGAAGACACTTAATTTTTTCATTTTAAAATTTGGAATTTATAAATTAATGTTTTCGCTGTACATTGTGAAATTTCAAATGAATGATTTTTATTATAATACACTAAATTTTTATATATTCTTTCTTTTAATTTTTGTTCTGTTTAGATTTACCTGAATGTGACTGTTGATGTAAAATTCGTTTTTCCCTTGATATCTCCAAGTACCATTAGAGATCTTTTCGACCGGCTGTGGTCTCCAGTTTGGTTTATCGGATTCTGCATGATACCAAACGAAGATCAAATGATTCACTTCACATGATTCCCAAGTCTTTGTTTTTGCATTAACCGGTACTGAAGTAAGACATATGTTTTATTATTTTATGATATTTTTATTTATATTTTTTTCAAAGAAAAATTTAATTGATTTTAAAATCATTTTAAATATTAATAGTTTTAATTTTTAAAAAATTAAGTTGAAAATTATGAAACAGTGGAAGAAAGTACCTTTAATAGAATTGATTTTTTCTTAAAAGGTTCATCTAAAATCTTCACCTAGGAAAAAATGTTTTAGAACAAAAAAATCGGCTAAATTTCCATTAAAAAAAAATATTTTTTCAAAATCATAAATGAAGAAACTGTTAAAAATTGAATTGATGGTTTTTTAGTTAAAAGAAATTAAAAAAAAAAATTTTAACACTAAAATTCGTTTCTTTGATAAAAAGGATTTGTTTCTTTCTTTATAAATTTATAGTTGATTTCAAATTAATATTAGAATTTTTCTAATTTAAAGAAACTTGATTTCGATCAAGGAAACTTTTGTCTAAATTCTTTAGGAAAAGATGAGTGAAAATTAAATGAAAATTAAAAATTATCATAATATTGAAAATTTACCTTTTTCTGAATAAGGTATGTTTTCACAATGTCCATCTCCACGAAAAAGCCAATGATGAAATGGGCATTCTAAACATTCCCCTTTTACTAATCCTTGCCCCAAATTTGCACCCAAATGTGGACAATAAGCATCTAAAATTTTTACAATTCCAGATACAGTTCTGCAAAATAATTATTTGATTTGAACCAATTTTTTACATTTTAATTTAAAAAACTTTTATTACCGTGTGTAAACTTTTTAATTTTTATTAATTTAACGATAATTTATTCTATTATTATTAATAAATAATATTCAATTTAAAAATTACCTGTAAATCGCAAAATTTTCTCCAAGAGCAATTACGTGTTTAACTTGCCCTTTTTTAAGTTCAGAACTTTCCAAAACAGCAAACCAACCATTAGGATAAACGGGTGGTAAATTTCCTCTTTTTTTGTTTTTTATGATAAAATCCTTATCACCAGTTTCGAATTTGTGTCCCTAGTGGAGAAAAATTGATTTTTAATATTGTTGAATATTTTAAACTTTAGGGATTTTGTCTAAATTTGTCTATTGATAATAAAAAAAATGTGTAGTTGGTTGTGGGGTATAGAAAAAGTCTCTAAATTGTTTTGACAGAATTTTCCCATTTAATCCAAATATAATTTAACCAAACTAAATTCTGGCTAAAGTATTTTAGAGTGAATATTTTTTTCATTTGGTTAAATAATAATTCGATTGAAACGAAAACGAACATATTCGGTCCAAAGCAACTTCAATTAAATGAAAATTTGAGTGCCCTAGTTTTGTACAAAGTGTTTATTTTTTATAATTATAATTCTAATTTTAATTCATTTCACATTATACATTTTATATGATGTTGTTGTTCATGTTTACTACATATTGTGTAATATTTTTTACATTTGTGCAATATTTCAATTATTTTTCTAGATTGTAAAATTGCACAATAATATACTTCTATAAGATACGTGACTCCAAGCTCGTAATATTGAAAATTCTTTTAAAAAAAATTAGATAGGTAACTAGAGCAAATCTTTTATTATGAATGTCCTATAAGGATTATAACTGAAGCATTGATTGAAAAATACTCATACAGCATTGAAATTATTCATAGGATACTCGTGCACATTTGCACTCTTGACAAACATTGATAAAACGTGTTTCTTATATATATATATATTAATTTAGTGAATAATTTGGCAAAAATATTGTCATATATATTTTATTAAAAATACTGTTAATTTATTGTTTGAAAAAAGATTTAAACGCTAGAAAAATCTAGAAATAATGGTGAATTTATAATCGCAAATTAGTTGACATCAAATTATTTTATTTCATCTTAAATAGTTTATTTAGTATATTTGGAATAACAAAAAAATTATAGATAAATTTTAAAAGCATTTTATATGATTTAGCTAAAAATTATTAAATATTTATTAAAATATTTTAATTTCAATTAACAAAAAATTTTAAAAATTTGTACACAATTTTCAATTGATTTTCATTTGATTAAAACTTATATAAGAAAATAAGGACAGCTCATGTAATATGTTTTCCTGGAAGGTTGTTAAATGAAGTACACTCATTAAAATATTTTTTTTAGAAATAAAATATTTACCTTGACAAAGTTGATGTTAACAAATAATGCAAGATAAAATAGAATGATGATTATTATGAATATTAAGGCTAATAAGGCAGTAAGGGTGTTTTGAATCAACCATTCCAGCATCTTAGTTACTTGCTCTTCCTTATCTCACTGTGAATCTTCAATTTCTTTTCTTGATAATCTAATATCATCGGGGTTGATGACTAAATACAGAATCGTATAGCAACTGAATTTAAAAAAATGCATTAATATATTTTTATCTAAAATTAAAAAGAATTTTATCTTTTTTTTTAAAAAAAAACTTCTTTTATACAGAATATTGTTTAGAATTTGAAAATTTTCAAAAATTCATTCTGCCCCTTTTCCACATATTCCTATATTATGTTTCTTTTATTTTAATGAAATAAGGAAGTTAACTAATTTTTCAATAAAAAATAATATATATGGATAAAAGTGATAAATTCGCGAGAATTTTCGAACTCTAGTATTATTTGAACTGCAACTCCTTCGGAAGCTTGACCGCTTTATATACGATCACTCCTAGTTTACGACTACGTGGTCCAGCTTGAGGACCCATCAAAATACATATATTCATCTATAGCAGGTCAACACACGCATCAGTACATGTAGATAAGCTTCCATTTCGACATGAGAATACCAGTGGGAGTAAATACACTGGTGAGTACATCTGTACTTAGTCCTTAGTTCTTTTGCACTTATAGAATCAGTCTAAATCGGACTTGATACTGATAATTGATCTTATCATTGATCTGGACTCGCGCTTCCTGCGCTATAAAAGCTTGGATATAATGGGCCACGTTTATCTTTAATTCTATGTAGGTGCTAACAAATGCTTATTTTTTTTCATTTTTTATTTTTCAAAAGGGTTTAATGTTTTAGATAGACTTAAGGAAAATAATTATCAAATTTTATAAAAGTATTTCATAATTTTAGAAAAATGTACCAAAAAAGTGAGAAATTTTCATCTAAAAATCTTACATGCAACTTAGTATATTTTTAGCATTTATTATCCCTAATATTTTTATTTATTATATTATATTATTATTTCCAGAAAATTAATAATAATTTTCAAAATTTTGATTTTTTACAAAAAAAATTTTTTATTTAAATGTATAAATAAATTATTAACAATTTTTTTTACTATTAAATGCAAGAAATTAAAATACAATTAAATTAAAATAATAAATTTTTCATAAACAGTATGAACTAAAAACTTAAAACATTTGCTAAAACTGTTTTTTAAATAATTTTATAATTAAACATTTTCATTAGAAAATTATAAATAATAATATTTAAAAATGTAAATTTATTAATGTTAAATAATATAGAAAATTTTTAAACTTGCAAAAGTATATAAAATGCTAATTTGTTTAATTATTTATTAAAAAGTTTAAAGATTTGAAAACGTGCGCGAATTATTCCGACACGTGATTGGTTTACTTATATCCGCATGCAGCGCCATCTTCATTCTGTGTAAGTACCTCGTTGATAGAGAATCATGTAAAGTGTAATTAATTTTTTTAAAATAAGATTAACGTAAATCAGTAGTATAAATGTTGAAAATTATTATGAAATCACGAATAGAAAAGTTTAAATAATGTAAATATATAATTGAATCAGATGGAAATGAAAAATTCAAGTAACAAGTCAGTAATTTGTTTGTACTGTTGAAAAACATAACCTATAAAAGAAGTCGTGATGTTTCATATTTTTTTTGTACAAATTTTGTAAGTCTTTTTTTTTTTATTTAATTCTAGTCAAATTTATGTTTAAAAGTCATTGTTAGACATTGTTTTCTCGTCAGTTTATCATTTTTTTTTTCAAAAAGTTTAGAAGAAGTAAAATAACCCTTTGTAGTTGAATCGTCATCAGGCAAGCTTATTGTTAGTCTAAAAGTTGCTATTGGAAATTTAAACAACAAATTTAAAATTTTAATTTTCTGAGTTCAATGAATTTAAAATCAATCGTAGAATATATTGTTTTGTCAAATAAATTCAATATTATTTAAATTAGGTACGTATTATTTTAAAATGTTGTCAAAAGTGTTAAAAGAAATTTTTTGACTTGTAATAAATTTATGAAAAAAATCATCTTGTGCATCAATATTTAAGAGTACATAATATTGATAAATAGAATAATATAAATTTTATAACTTGCGGTATCTTGTAATAGAAAAATTTTATTTTATATTTTCTCTAGTATAAAATTTAATTTCATTTTTGATAAAACTTATAAATATCGCAAATTTTTTTTTCTTTATCAAGTTCGTTTACAAAATAATGGTAAAATTCAGTTTAAAAAAATATTTCTTCACATTTTATTAATGAATTTTTAAAAGATGTGTTCTTGAAATTACGTTTCTGAAAAATTTAAATGATTATTTCTCTTGAAAAATTTAATATTCTTTCTACAAACATGAGTTTAAAGTAATAAATGTTTTTTAAAATTTAACTGATTTTTTAAAAATAAAATACAGATTTTAAAGTTTTCACTTTGACAAATGAATTAATGAATTTTAACGAATAATTAGTTTACTTTTAAATGTAAATTAATTGAACCGTAACTCAATAAATTAAATTTTTTTTATTGAGTCAGTTAATTTGAATTGATTTAAATTGTTCAAAAAGAATTTGTTTTAAAATGGATAAAGACCAAAATCGTATTCGTGATTACTAACTTACATTAGTTAGTCACATATTAAAACAATCGAATGTTGTATTTATTCGGATATAATATTATATCAAAATATGGAGATTTTTAATCTGTTAAATAATATTTAACAGAATATAATAGACACTTCCAATTTGTATAATTATTTTTTTTCAAATTAAAATATAAAATATGAGAATTAATTAGCTTTCAATTATTTTTGATTAACAGACATTTCAGTTGAATAAAAAAAAAATATTTCAAGCTTAAAACTACTTTCAAGTGGAATTTATTAAAAATGCTAATGAAAAACGAAATTAAAATTTAAAAACTAAAATATATATTTTACTTATTTAATAACAAAGTAAATTTTCAAATTATAGACCATTGCCTATGTAATAGATAAAAAGACGACAAATAAGAATAGAATTGGACATTATAATTACATTATTTTTGTTATTAATTTTTACTTACATTTATTGTTTGCGTCACTTTATTTAGAAATATTTGATATTTTTTTAAAAATTAAATTGTTTTTGTATAAAAATTTTCAGTTAAAAATTGCACTGTTTGTCATTTTTAAAATAAACTTGAAAAAAATTAAAATCTGACTGCTTTCTCCCATGCAGAGTGGTTCTTTTTATCTAGGATCCCCCAAAATACGAAAATTGAAAAATTAGAAGAAAGGGAAAGAATGTAGACAAAAGTTTCAGGTCCTATTGGGTTTCAATTTTCTTTAAGAAATAGGTTCTTAATTTTCCTGTAGCTAAATGTTTAAAAAATTTGTGCAACTCGTTCAGAAGTCAGGAGAAATAATGATGAACCGCGATACGATGTGCTCGATTTTATTTAATCTTTACGTATTCTCATTATAAAAAATTGTAAATTCTGATTTTGTCATTATATAATTTCATCTAATCTCGTTTCTTACTTGAATTATAAAATAATTATTGATAAAATTACTCATTTTTTGTTGTTGAATTAACTAATAATTTGATTAACTTTAAAAAAAAAATTTGTTATAGGATTAAAATAATTTTTTGTATTAAATTCCGTTGATATCTTTAGTAATTTAAACGGTTACACGTTAGAAATGTTCTTGTTGAGAGTAAATTTTTATATAATTATAAATTCATAATTTTTTATATTCTAGCGAAAAAATTTTCCAAGAGGAAGTAAAAGTTGATTCATCAGATTCCCACAGTGTTTAACCTGAAAATTTATGGCACGTTAAAGACTATAAAGATTAAGATCAGCTGAAATGCATTTTTCCATTTGAAGGTTAACGTCTGCATCTTTTTAGTGTACCTATACTAGTATCATTTTTAAACTTTCGAAAATTTTGCAGTAGATCTTTGTTTTCGGGCCTTTTTTGAAGATAAAAAAAAGGCAGAGTTCGTGTACTTCGAAATTTTTTGAAAAACAATATTTATTACTGGGAACTTTTACATAGTATAGGTTAGCTTTAAATAGTTTATTCAAGCGTATATAAATTAATTAAATTTAATCTCTTGATTTTCTAAAGGAAAATTTGATGATTAAATTCATTAAAAGTATACATTAAACATGAAACACTTTAAAAATTTTGTTTGTTCGTAATTTTTTTGTGTTTATTTCAAGAATATTTTGCTTATAAAAGTAATTTCATATTTTTATTAAACATTAAAAATAATCCAATTCAAAATATCCTTAATCATTTGAAAATGTTTAATTAGAATTGACTGATAATTTTTCAATTTTATAATTCATTGAAAATTTAAAAAAATAATTATTTTGGAGATTTTGAAAGCACTTTAATTTAAATCTGTATTATCTTTGGTCTTTTCCCGCGCTTCTACTTACTACCCCACAAATTATTAAAGAACTATCAATTTTTGCAAAAAAATATTGTATTAAAAAGCGAATGTTGTTTTGAAACAGGTTTCGGAGACTCCATAACCGGACAGGACAGTATTCACAAATATGCCCTCGTGGTTTGGGGAATTTAAGAGAGGCACTGCTTGATTTTTCTTTTTTGGTAAGTACACTCGTATTTTAGTCAATGCACGACTCAAGTGGTTGGTGGTTGTAATCGAATCTTGCCGAAAAGCGAATAAAAAATAAAAAAATAAAAAAATAAAAAAAAAATGGATGTGAAGTAACGAAAATTATTAAGTGAGGTCCTCTCGGTGCGCATCTTCCATATGAACATACACTACAACGCTCATGAAACATTCGTAAGAAATGGCACTTGTGCATCGTGTGTTCACCATAGGCGGCAAACATTTTTATTTCTTGGTATCAGAACACTACTTTAAGTAATATTCTATAACAAGTATCATCTTACATATATACATGACGACTTGACTTCTTGTCATTCGTTTATTAAAACATTTGTTCATAATCAGCACATTGCACACTATTTTTTGTTGCTTGTACGTGAGTAAAACCTGTAATATGAATTCTCCGTCACAACTATATTATGTCTGCAACCGACATATATAATTTACTATACTATTATAATTTAATGAATCAAATCAATTTTTAAGTCTTTAATTTAAATAAATGAATTAATATTTGTTTGCTATTATTAATGAGGGATTATAGTTTTAATTAAAACTCGTGTTAATGAAAATTGACGAAAACTTGAGGTTTAGGCGCCAATGCTCGGTGCGTATATATATAAGACAGGTTGAATCCATGCGTAATTGAGGCGTAGAAAAAAGGAAAAGAAAGATGAATAAAAAAACGTAGAAGTAAGGTTGACCAAAAGAATTACGGGGGTTCGGAATGACAGGGGAATGAGAGAGACGCTTGACAGGGTTTATTAGGGCAGCTGCAACCCAACATAAAAAAAATTGTGTTTATTACACAGAATTCTTTGATTGGATGCATTTTA